GCTTCAAGAAGCATGGAGAAAAGTTGGTCGTGTATACCGTCTACCTTACGAGTAATATGCGTGGGAAGCAATGTGTGTCATTGCCGGGACTTTGCCTCTTAGAGTCTTAGCTGAGGAAAGACTAAACCTTTATCAACGTCACTAAGTGCTGAGGATCTTAAAACCGTAGAACGTCGAAACAGCATAAGACGTTGGCAACAACAGTGGGATACCGCAGAAAAGTGTAGATGGACGCACCGTCCCATAACTAAAATTGACGCTTACTTTGTTTGTTCAATAAAATAATAGTCCGCAAAGCTGAAGTAGGGGTAAATAACTTTGTTCTTTGAATTAGTGGGTATGTTGTTTGTGACGGATTTGAATAGATATGGCAGATAGAAGTTGTAGATGAGGATTTTGAAAATTAAATCTGATTTGGAAGTCCAAAATTGTATGTCAGAAAGGAGAATAGCATGGTCTACTAGATTAATGATAGTTCCTATTCTTATACTAGGGGTTTGGTAAGTGTGTAAATTAAAATACCTACCTGACCAAGCGAGTTTCTGAAATCTGTGTTTTAATTAATTTTGACGTCTAAGAAGCTGATAGTGTTATTTAGTTCTTATTTGCACGTGAACTGTAAATGTTTGTTAAAAGAGTTGAAGGAAAATAGTAATAAATCAAAATTTTATGGGGGAATACAAGTAATAATGTCATTTACATATATATGATAGAAGTAAGAATCTATGTTGATAGGATCAAAAACTCTAGTTTCTAAGTTTCGTTACGATAATTCGGCTAGGGCTGGAGAAAAAGAAGAGCCCATGAGAGGCCAAAAATTTGAAAATAAAATTGATAATCAAATTCAAGGTAAGTGTTCGTGCTTATGAACTTACAGATTCCAAAAGCCAAAGTAAAATAAGTGTTGGGTGACAGGAAATTTCATCCCATCTAATTGTATAGAATCTAATATTAATTGTAAGGGAAAGTTGGTATATAAGAAAAGGACATCTATCCTCACTAATAAAGTATCGTGGGGTAGGACTAAGCTACAAATCCAAATGATTTTTGAAGTAAAAGTTCTTTAGGCGCGTCATGGGTTTAAATCGACATGGGTGTAAAGTAATCGCTTGCATGATTCGCGCTTACGATGCTAGTTAGCGCAGATGTCGCGAGTATCCACCGAAAGCATAAAGCATATTGTTCAAATTTCATGTGTTATGCCAAATCTTTTTAAGGTTAAATATGTAGTAGTATAAATTGTGAGTTAATAAAAATGTCAGGATCAAAAGAATATTTTAATCTCTCCCCCATACATAATTGTAGTGCAAATAATCGCAAATAATGAAACATATGAGGAATCTGCGCTGCATTTGTATTATTCGAGTTTTTCGAGGTTCTTATATACCTTTGAGGTTATTACTAAAATGGAAAATATTTTTATAAAAATATTTAAATATTTAAACAAACAAGCAGTCAATAATGAAGTTCTACAAACACAATTACATGATGAGTGAAACAATATTTCTTCATTGGAAAATTAACGTATAATAACGTAGTAATGGAGACTAATTTTAATTTAGTCTTGAAAGATCAAGATTACATCGTCAAACAAAACAACTGCAGGAAAATAATCGGTTACTGCCAATTTATTAGAAAATCTTGAGCCTGAGGTATCAATTTAGATGTTAATGACAACACCATTGACATAAGTAAGAATCTCTTTTTGCTATTTAATCCTGAAAAACGCTTCAACTATTCACATTCAAACATATTATTTTCTGTTATCTTTTAGATGAAAGTACTGCTGTTACTTTTTCTGATACAGCAACTACATCACGGCAATTGCAAATTGATGATTCTGTATATAATGTGACAAGAACTGATCTTTTGCAAGAGTCAATTGAAGTATTTGAACTTCCATAAAGACTTCAATTTGTTTGGAAATGCACGGAAATTGTTTGAAAAACAATTTACAAATGATAGCTTTGGCTATGTATGTTTTGTGTGTGATCGACTTTGGTTTCAAAGTGACTTAGAAATATCAAATGATGCTCAGAAACAAATTCTTAATAATGGTTTTTTGAATAGTGATTATTAAAATAATCAGGTCGGATGTCAAACTTGTCGAAAGCATTAAATTCGGGTAAAATTCCCACTTTGTGTAAATTTAACGGGTTTGTATTTCCACCTTTATCAAATTATCTACCTAAACTAGATACAGTATCTGAAAGGTTAATTTCACCTAGGTTGTGTTTCATGCAAATTAGACGATTAAGACATGCAAATGGGCAATTTGGAATATTTGAACAAATTATAAATGTGCCTGTTGACGTTGATAATATGGTTAATTTATTGCCTCGTCATATTGATGATGATTATTGCATTAACGTTCACATAAAAAAGAAAATGATTCATAGATCAAGCTATGTGCAGGGCTTGATAAATAAGACAAATATAAAAGTATGGCTTCAATTTTTTAGGCAAGACAGATATTACAGCCGATCAAGGAATGAGATTATATCGTCAGCGAAAAAGTAAAAATTTACAAACAGTAACTGAATGTATGTTAATTTTAATTACTTGAAGTTCTTCAAACACAATTATTACATGATGAGTGAAGTTACGAAAACAATATTTACTTAGGCGTTGTTTAACATAATCCACTGTGTGAACGAATATTATAGAATTTATTAATCAGCAATTACTTTAAACCGATCATGTCATATTTCAAGTATGACTTTGATTACATTATTGTTTGTAAATATTATACATATTTTTAATTCAATCATAAATATATAGTTTATCATTATATAAATGTGTATAATTGTCGACACTAATAAATGTGTGCATCACGAGTGTTACCATATTACTAAAAAACATTATTCCAAATTGTTATATGATGTATTTATTTTTACTTAACTTAAATTTTCTACTTTGTACAGTAGCAAATAAGTTTTACTTCAATCGCGTGTGATCCTTACGCGCACTCTTTTTTTTATATATAAATATAGATACTGAACAGTTATAATAAAGAGTATGTTACTTAGAAAATTTGAAAATTTGGACAGATAAGAATTTATGTCAGCATCTATTGGTCTAAAAGAAACGTCTTATTTATGGGTTTTAGAGAGACTATAAAGTTTCGGATTGTAGGGATGTAAATGCTTTAAAGATCATGAAAGAAATTTCGTAATTCGCAGATTTAACACTAAATTGTTAATTAATTTGTGAAGAAAGCGGTTTACGCGTTCTGTCGGGTCGGAAATAAATGGAGTTAAGTATTAAGATAAGATACTAGATTTCAAACTTTTTTCAGATATATGTGTTTATCCACAATAACTGTCACATTACCTTTATTGGCTCTTGTTACTAGTAGATCAAGATTGTTTTTTACAAAGACTTTGCCATCTTCAATATCTAAAAGACCTGATTTTACACAGCTAATAATTTAGATGAAATTAATATTGTAGCAAGTATTGAGGAGAACAAAGATTAGGCATAAAGCCCAAAGATTCATAAAAAAACGTGTCTGAGATAGTTCCATTAGAGAGGTTTTTCAAAAAAAATTTAATAATTAAATCACTTAAGATAATTTTTGAAAAGTTTATTGCAAATTGCAAAGGCTTTTGTAACAAACTGGTTCCACCTCAAGAAAACTTTACAGAATTTCAGCTTGTGCCGTATTGAACAAATAAGTATTTATTTTATTAATTAATCATAGTATGTTCAAGACCATAATATCTATCGTCAAAAGAATATATAAAAACTGTCAAAAAAAATTTTTACATAGTTAATTACAAGAACTTGTGCCAGTGGATTTTTACCAAAAACTAATCAGGTCGATACCCAATAAATATCTTTCAAGCGGTTCTTGAATTTTCAGAACAAATACAAAATTGTGGGCTAAATCGTGGAGGGAAAAAAATACTTTTCTGCTTTTAAATTTACGAAAAACGGCTCGGCCGATCGTCGGTAAGACTAACAAACGCAAGTACTTCGAGACTCATCGAATGGCTTTGAAATTTTGAAAATCGGTCCAGTCGTTACATTGAAAACGTCAACGAAAGGTCAAAAATAGGTTACACCAGGTTTATATTTGTTTATCTATAGGTTACATAGGTTTATACTTGTTTATCTATGGGTCACATACATACTTTTTTCCAAGTTTGTTCTCATTCGATTCAGAATGGCTTGAAACGTCGAGAAAACAAAAAAAGTAGAAAATCGATTTTTTTTATGAAAACATAAACTGCTCTTTCGGGAAGTCAACAAAGCTCGGAGATTCTTATATTAATGAATTATCAATATGTATGGATTTTTGCAATATTATTCCCTTTGCTGATGATGTAAGTTTAATTACAAAGGAATAATTTGCCGACTAAGTAAATAGCAAAGTTTCAATTACAAATACGAACTGGCTTAATTAAAATTCTCCCATACATAGCAAAGATTATAAACCGTTTCCGATATCTGAAGTATTTATAGTCTCAAAAATTTTAATTTGTGTAGCCAAAATAATTTATTACGATTAGCTAAACTTTTCGAATATTTATTATCACCTAAAATTACCAAACTTTTGAAATATTTATTATAACTTAAACTTACTAAAGTTTAATTTTTTACAAATTTTGAAGAAATTTTTATTAATAAATTCGCATTTTGCTTGCGACAAAAAAATATACTTTCTCCATCAAAGCTGTACTTTAATAGAGCAAGTTAATATACTTCCATTACATTGAATATTTTCATTGGCAATAATGACCAACTAATTAAAAAATGTGTTTCACACGAATATTTATTGTGAAATATAGATTATTGTTAATTTGTTTCGGATTACTAAATATAATTCTCAACAATATTTAAATAGCATATATTTCTAGGTTTACGTTAAATTTGCAATAATGTGAAATTATTTTGTCAAAACGTTATTCACAAAATGTACTGCATTAGTTTAAACGCTTTAAATACTAACAGAAACAATTAGTACTGATTTAATTTATAAAAGAAATTTAGCTCACGCTTTGATAAAATGCCATAAATCAGGATCATTTTCCACATATGCCAACTTTTTCAACATTTCTCCAAGATCGTATATATCTTTTTGTAGATTGATTGGCGTATCCAATGAACAATTTATTAATTGAGTTCCAAAATCCTTTAATCGAACACACCCTTAAATAAATTATTATTATGTCAATTATGATCAATTGTCACAAAATTACTCAAATTTTCAAAACAAAATTTGTGAATTACCTGTTGAATCAACTATTACAGATTTCTCTATCAAATTTCCATGTGAAATGTTATTTGCATGTAGATAAGATAAAGCTTTCAATAATTGTTCAGCCAAATCATGAGCTCCAGTATCGATCATCTTTGCTTTAATATTAATATAATAAATATAATTTATATATATATATATATATATATATATATATATATACGAGGTGTGTTCAAAAAGTACCCGGAATTACTAATAATTAAATTTCGCGGGTCTGGAGTGTCTGATTGTCAAAATTTTTTTTTTATTGTGTTGGTATACATGCCCCTAAAGTATGATGAAATTTTCAGCTATATTCACTGTTTACTTTGTCTGTGGTAGTCGCTAAGGTTCGACGTGTTTTTCTGAGCTCGGCGATTTTTACAATGGAAGAATTGAAAAGTCAAAGAATTTGTATTAAATTTTGCGTAAAAAATGAAATAAAGTGTTGCAAAGCGCAAAAATTCACCAGATATGGCTCCGTGTGACTTTTTCCTATTCCCAAAGTTGAAGAGACCCATGAAAGGACGGCGGTTTTCCTCGATTGAAGAAAATCGCTGAGAGTGCTCAAGGACATATCAAAAAGTGAATATCAAGGGTGCTTCGAAAATTGGAAAAAACGCTGGCATAAGTGTATTATATCTGGGGGGGACTACTTTGAAGGGGACCACATTAATGTAGACGAATAAATAAATATTTTTTTGAAAAAACGAAAATTCCGGGTACTTTTTGAACAGACTCGTATATATTGAGTTATTTAGAATCGGGCAGAAACGCCAAGTAAAAAGTTTTGAAATACTTTATTTATCAATACGTTTCGGTCTTCATCGAGACCGTCTCATTCAGTGGAAAAACTAAAAGATTTTATATGATGTAGGAGGAAAATAATATAAAGTTATAGAACTTATATATAGATACTTACAGAAAATTAATTATACAAAAATACACTACCCTATTACACTGTGATAAACCAAGCTATTAATGACTGGAACATTTAAACTAATTATTAACTTCCCGTAGGGTGAGTTATAGTAATCGCAAAAAAATCGAAAATGAAAATTTTTATATATCTTTACGTTTCAGAGGTTTCTGAATATTTTGGCATACCTTAGAAAAATGGATGTATGTGTGAGTGTGTGTGTGTGTGTGTGTGTGTGTGCGTAGTATGTATGTGTGTGCGGATACAAATTTTCGTCGACGATTTCGGGAACACGGATGAAGCAATTTGAATAATTTAAAAAACATTCGATCTGTATTGATAAGGAGACGTGCTGATTAGTTTTTGGCGGAGGTAGGTCTAGCCGTTCCGAAGATATGGGGCAAAAAGTGCCAAAAACGGTATCTCAGTTTTTAATAGAACGGAGCGTGCGATTTTAATAATTCAAAAAACATTTTACTTGCATTGACAAGATGAAGATTTGATCAAATTTTTATAGGGGCAGGTTTAGCGGTTTCGGAGATCTAACGAAAAAAGTAAAAAAAAATGCCATTTGGCGGTCAAAAATGATTATTAGACATATGCACATCAAATTATCAGATATTTTATAGAGATTTTAACAATAAGTATAAATTTTGTTTACATTCCTATGGGTTCCGTACCAATGTTTACCCGTTAGACAGCGACGCGGCGCTTACGCGCTTTATATTTTGTCTTTGCATTTAAAGCAGTACGATTGCTTTGAAAAAAAGTTCAGATCTTCCAACATATGTCAAAATAAAGAAAACATTTTTTTTCAAAAAAAAAGATTTAAAAAAAAAAATTTTTTTAAGTAATTTTTTTTTCAAAAAAAGTATTTTTTTGTCAAATTTATAGTTTCTCAAAAATCTTATTTTTTCAAAGTAATTTTTTTTCAAAAATGTTAATCGTTTTTAAAAAAAATAATAATTTTTGATACGGGAAGTTCCAGCAATTTGCCTTAAGGCACGATGCCCTAATTGCCTTAAGACAAAATTCCACTTACAGCTAGTTTTTTGACATTTTTTGGTTACATTCTAGTGTGTATAGATTAACTAACATCTAAATACTGAATGGATTGTGTTTACAAATTTTGCGAAAGTGTAGAAAGACTGGCAAACATACGTTTTTAGTAGAATAATTGAATAATAAAATACACGCTTCATTCAGATATGGTGGTGTTTTGAAAAATGGTCAAGGATTATTTTATGGTCATTGCAAAGCAAATTGTTGTCCAATCTTTTATTTATGGCCGTCTCATTGTGTAAAGATATTAGGCATCCTTCACTAATTCTTCTTTTAAATAAATTATTTTCGAAATGTAAGATCGTGGGATTGAAAAAATCAATGTTATATTTGAGCTGATTAATGTGATCCGTTAGTGTGTTTTATTCTGGTTTTTATTTTTAGAGTTGTTTTTATGTTGTGATGTTTCTTTGTGCAAGTTTTGACTGGTTTCATCTATGTAGACGCAATTACAATCTAGGCAATTAAGCTTATAAACTAGATTACTGAGGATGCTTGGGTTGAATTTCGATTTTAATTTTGTAAAAAGAGTTGAAAGAGTATTTTCGGAAGTACAAACTACTCTAATATTATTTTTACTGAAAAGTTTTCTCCACGGGTAATGTAATTCTTTAATGAAAGGTTAACTTATAGTTCAGAAGTAGTTTTCATGGTTTGGATTTTCAATTGAATTATTGTGACGGTTTTGGAGATATAGTATTCTATTTTTTGTTATGGATTGGATGCGGTGTTGTGGGTAGGAGTTTTTGGTTAGGATTTGTGAAATGAGAGAGAGATTCTTTCTTAAAAATTTACTGTGTGATAATAATAATGCGTAGTCTATTAAGTTTATGATTGTGCCTATTTTGATAGAGAGGGGTGGTAAGACTGGTAATTAAGATAACGGCCTGAGTATGCTGGTTTGTGATACCTATCAGTTATTATATTATTAATTTCGCGAAATAGTTGGACATCTAAGAAACTGATAGATTTATTATTTTCTAATTCAGAAGTGAATTGTAGGTGTTGCTTGTAGGCATTAAAAGAATTCACAAGAGTTGCTATGTCACTGTTTGGGATGCATGTTATGATGTCATCAACATATCGGTAGTAAAAAAATTGTTTGTTGTAGAAATTTAAAATTGTGGATTCTATGTGTTGAAGGGCTATTTCAGTTAAAGATGGGGAGGCTGGAGATCCCATTGGTGTACCAAATGTTTGGAAATAGAATTTACTATTGAACTTAAAATATGTGGAAATTAAAAATTTTATTGTTTCTCGAAACCAGTGTAGGGAAATTGTGGTATGGAAGGATATATCGTGCCATTTTTTAGTTATGGCTTCAAGGATAAGGTCTGATGGAACGTTTGTGAACAATGATACTATGTCTAAACTAATTAATACGTTATCATTTGGAACTGTAATTTGTTTCAATTTTTCGACAAACTCGAAAGAATTTTTTATGTGAAATGGGGATTTTTTGGTGACAGGAGTTATGGAAATATTTATATATCTTGATAATTTATAAAGTGGTGAGTTAATGTCTGATACAATGGGGCGGAATGGTAAGTTAGGTTTATGGATTTTGGGAAGACAGTATAGTCATGGGTAGTAAGGATGCAAGTTTTCTAAATTGGAAGCTATGGCTTTGGGTAACTGTTTATTAGTAACGAGTTTATCGATAAACTTGTGGCAAATACGGTTTATGTAATCTGTAGGATCATTAACAGCGATGTTGAAAGTTTTTTTTATCTGAAAGTAAATTCGAAACTTTATCTAGGTAAAATTTTTGTTTAACACAACGGTTACGTTTCCTTTATCGGCTCTAGTAACAATCTTTTAAGATATAGTTATAGTCCAGGATTGTGCATGAGGATTTTCTAAATGAAATGAGTTTTTTGCAAAAGATGGACCTGGTTCCATACCACAATTTTCCCACACTAGTTTCGAGAAACAATAAAATTTTTAATTTCCAACACATAACCAGGTCCATCAATGGGATCTCCAGCCTCCCCATCTTTAAATGAAATAGCCCTTCAGCACATAGAATCCATAATTTTAAATTCCTACAACAAACAAATTTTTTACTGCCGATATATTGATGGCATCATAACATGCATCCCAAACAGTGACACAACAATTCTTATAAATTCTTTTAATGCCTACAACCAAGATCTACAATTCACTTCTGAATTAGAAAATAGTAAAACTATCAGTTTCTTAGATGTCCAACTCTTTCGCGAAAATAATAATATAATAACTGATTGGTATCACAAATCAACATACTCAGGCCGTTATCTTAATTATCATTCTTACCACCCTTAATAGACCACGCATTATTATTATCACATCGTAAATTTTTAAGAAAGAATCTCTCACTCATTTCACAAATCCTAACCAAAATCTCCTACCCACAACACCTCATCCAATCCATAACAAAAAACAGAATCCTATATCTCCAAAACCGTCACAATAATTCAATTAAAAATCCAAACCATGAAAACTACGTCGGAACTATAAGTTTACCTTTCATTAAAGAATTACATTTCCCGAGGAGAAAACTTTTCAGTAAAAATAATATTAAAGTAGTTTGTGCTTCCGAAAACACCATTTCACCTATTTTTACAAAATTAAAATCGAAATTTAACCCAAAGATCCTAAGTAATCTAGTTTATAAGCTTAATTGCCTAGATTGTAATTGATACTACTTAGATTAAACCAGTCAAAACTTGCACAAAAGAACATCACAACATAAAAATAACTCTAAAAATAAAAACCAGACTAACGGATCACATTAATCAGCTCAAACATAACATTGATTTTTCCAATCCCACGATCCTACATGTCGAAAATAATTTATTTAAAAGAAGATTTAACGAAAGATGCCTAATATCTTTACACAATGAGACAGCCATAAATAAAAGATTGGACAACAATTCGCTTTGCAATGACTATAAAATAATCCTTGACCATTTTTCAAAACACCACCATATCTGAATGAAGCGTGTATTTTATTATTTTATTATTTTACTAAAAACATATGTTTGCCAGTCTTTTTAGACTTTCGCAAAATTTGTAAACACAATTCATTCAGTATTTAGACGTTAGTTAATCTGTACACACTAGAATGTAACCAAAAATTGTCAAAAAATAATTAGT